TGAGAGTCTGCAGTCGTACGCTAGCGCCCCCTGGCCTCAGTCCTCTCAAACCTACCTGTCCTTCATGGAGTTTGAGATCATCTTCCAGCCGACCAATCCGGACGGGACGCTGCTCTACAGCGATGATACAGCCAGTCAGGACTTCCTGTCCATCAACCTGGTGGGGGGATACGTGGAGTTCCGCTTCGACTGCGGCTCCGGACCCGCCATCATCAGGTGAGACAGCTACCTGTCAGCTGTGGAGTTACAGAGTTACAGTTATACGTTAGATCTGTTCATCTGCTTATTGTGATTGTTTACAGCACAGCCAGCTTCCTTAAAGTGTGCTGTTCATTTCAGAGCTGCAGGCAGATGAAAACTTTATTATCTTATTTGCCCTTTCCTGGACAGTGAGCTTATTTACAGTCCAGAACACATGGACTAGTGAGGAGCTCCTGGAACAAAAGTAAAAATAAAGCTGAGATAAATCAGGAAAAAGTCTCGGACAAACCTGTAAAATCACGGGACAAATCTGGAACAAAGTCTGGGTCAAAACTGTTAAAAATCTGGGACAACAATACAAACAGTCTGGGAAAAACTGGAAGAAATTTAGAAAAAAGGTTCGGACAAAACTGGGAAAAAAGTCTAGGAAAGTGTTTGGGACAAAGCTGGAAAAGTCTGGGACAAAAGTACATAAAGTTTAGGACAAAGTAGAAAAAGTTTGGAAAAAAAATCTGGGATAAAACTGTAAAAAGTCTCAAACAACTTTGGAAGAAATTTGGATCAATGAGTGTGACAAAACTGGGAAAAGTTGGAAACAAAACTGGAAAAAGTCTGGGAAAAACAAATAAGTTTGGGAAAAAAGTTTGGGACAAAGCTGAAAAAAGTCTGGACCTTAACTATAAAAAGAAAAGGATAAAACTACCAAAAGTCTGGGACAACACTGGAGGAATTTTGGAAAAAGAATGCAACACAACTGGAAAAACGCCTGGGAAAATGTTTGGGACAAAGGTGCAAACTGGCTGAGACAAAACTGGAAAAGCATGTGGACTGGAGAAAGACCAGGAAAAAACTGGAACTCGTGTTCCTTTAGGATAAATATAAGCTCTGTGGTCGTAGCTGCATTTGTGCAGAGTGTATATATATATATACACATTATATGGACAAAAGTATTGGGACGAACTTCTTAATCATTGAACTCAGGTATTCAGTCTCATTGCTACAGGTGTATAGAATCAAGCCCCCAGCCATGCAGCCTGCCTTTACACACATTGGTGAAAGGATGGGTCTGAAGAGCTCACTGAATTATTAGGATGAACTAAAGCGGACGTTGTGAGTCAGGCCCTCTTGTCCAACATCAGTGTCTGACTTTTCTGGATGAATGGACAAAAATTCCCACAGACACTCCAGCATCTTGTAGAAGCTTCCCAGAAGACTGGAAGCTGTTAGAGCTGCAAAGGGGGACCAACTCCATATTAATGCCTATGGATTTAGAATGGGATTCATACAAGCTCCTGTAGGTGTGATGTGTAGGTGTCCCAATACTTTTGTCCATACAGTGTAAGTATACCTGTATGTATATGTACCTGTATATATATATATATATATATGTGTGTGTGTGTGTGTGTGTGTGTGTGTGTTTCAGGAGTGAGGAGCCGGTCAGTATGAATGAGTGGCATGAGCTCCGTGTGTCCCGCACGGCTAAAAATGGAATCCTGCAGGTGGACGAGCAGCGGCCAGTAGAGGGCAGTGCTGAGGTCAGATCAGCTCATTCACTTCATAGCACACTTTCTCTGAACTGAGAGCCCGCTGTGTGTGTGTGTGTGTATGTGTGTGTGTGTCTGTGTGTATGTGTGTATGTGTGTGGGTGTGTGTGTGTGTGTGTGTGTGTGTGTGTGTGCGTATGTGTGTGTGCGTATGTGTGTGTGTGTGTCTGTGTGTATGTGTGTGTGTGTGTGTGTGTGTGTGTGTGTGTGCGTATGTGTGTGTGTGTGTGTGTGTATGTGTGTGTGTGTGTGTGTGTGTATGTGTGTGTGTGTGTGTGTGTGTGTGTGTGCGTGTGTGTGTGTGTGTGTGTGTGTGCGTATGTGTGTGTGCGTATGTGTGTGTGTGTGTGTGTGTGTGTGTGCGTGTGTGTGTGTGTGTGTGTGTGCGTATGTGTGTGTGCGTATGTGTGTGTGTGTGTGTGTGTGTGTGTGTGTACTAAACATCATTTATGAACATTTGAATAATCAAGTATGTAACGTGAATATTTATCTCCGTATCTTTGGTTACGGCTCTGAGTGAAGCCTGGGTTGCGGTTAGGGTTGAGTTTAAGATTAAAAGGGTTTAATTGCAGTGAGGTTCCGTACCGAATCACAGCAGAGTAACACAGAGTCTGTGTGTGTCTGTGTGACTCCTCAGGGTGCCTTCACTCAGATTAAGTGCAGTTCTCCGCTCCACATCGGCGGAGTTCCTGATTACGACGCGACCAAGAGCAGCGCTGGAGTCCTCAGAGCTTTCAGTGGAGCCATTCAGAAGGTGCACATCCTCCCCCGGAGCTCCACCTTCATCGTATTGTAGCCCGCTTTAGGTTTCTTTATTCTGCCTCTACTTTCATTGTGATTAACAGCCGTTGGTCCACAGTCGGGGTCAGACTGAGTTCTCTCGGCTCCAGCTGGGTTTGTGGGGTTTGGATTGTAAGCTTGGTGCTGAGGGTTGAGTTGAGAAACTGACCTCTGTAAAGTTTCAGTGAAATTAAGAATCTTTCCTGTAGATAACACTGAATGATCGTGCGGTTGCCGTGGCAACGGGGCAGGCAGGAGGGGTAAATGTCCTGAATGCTCTACACCCCTGTGTGGAGAACCCCTGCGCTAACGGAGGAACCTGCAGGCCCAAACGGGACGGGTACGACTGCGACTGCGCGCTGGGCTACGATGGAAAACACTGCCAGAAAGGTGAGAAAACACCCATATATTATATAAATACACACAAAAACAAACACACACACACTTTACTCAGTCTTATCTGCATTCCTTTGATCTTCACTTCCCCACAGGAGACAAAGCTACCTTATTAAAACTTCTTAGATATGATATCTTCTCAGATTAACCACTAATTAAGTCACAGACCTTTAAATTGAGTTGATTTGTAGTGTTTTGTGTTGAAGCACTGCTTGTCGCTCTAACACACTCCTGATGCTGATGGTGTTCACTGTGTGACTCTGCAGACTTCATCCTCGCCACAAACACTACAAAGTCTTTCTTAAGCTTCTTTTATTCTGTTTTGTGCTTTCATTGCCCAGAGTGCGGAAATTATTGCCTAAACAGTAAGTGCTGGAACACACCCACACAAACATGAAGACGTCGTCTGTCTCAGTGGTCCTCAGGGACCCCCAGATGGTCCACATTTTTGCCCCATGCCTGTGTGGCAAGTTATGTCAGAGCAAAAGTCCTGGACTGTCTGAGGGTCTCTGGGACCAGTTTAAAAAAAACGACTGTTCAGTCTCAGACGTCTCACTCTTCAAGTTTCATTTTGAAGCATGTTTTTATCTTAGTTTAATAGTTTCATGCTGCCACCTGGTGGGCTTTTGTATATTTTCACCCTCCCTCTTCTCTCTCTCTCTGTAGCTGTGACCGAGGCTATTGAAATCCCTCAGTTTACCGGGCGCAGCTATCTGACCTATGACAGTCGAGATATTCTCAAAAGGTAAAACTCTAAGCCTTTCTGATCGTTCACCTTACAGACCCCACTAGCACCTTTAAACGGGCAGGACTGGACTGAAAACAGCACAACCAACAATAGGAACCTACAAAGAAGAAAAACTAAACTGGATTCTTGTAGTTTTGAGGAAGTGACTGAGGAAGGCTATTCTTCAGAATCATAACGTGGAAATCTGAGTGGATGAGCAGATCTCTGTACCCAGAATGCCAGTAGTCTACATTTGAATGAAATTTGACTGCTGCAAAATTAAGTGACATTAAATGCAATAAGCTATACACATACTGAATAAAAGTGGCCCAAGTATTGACCCCTGGGGAACACCATAACAGTGGATCCAGTTTACAGATGGTCTGATCCTAAGAAAAAGTCCACATCAGATTCTGGTTTATTCTCTACGCATTGAATGAAGAGTTGATCCTGTTACTGTTGATCTGTTGGAATAACAGTAATTCCCATTTATGGAAGCTCTAAATTTCGTCTACCTGTTAAATACAATAGATCCCATTTACAGATACTTTAAATTTGTTCTCCATCTGTCGGAATAGCAGCAGATCCCATTTATGGATGTTCTGATTGGTCCTCTATCGCCCCCTTGAGTTTCAGAGCCTGAATGAGTCTGTGTGAGAGTGTGTGTTAGTAAGTAAATGGGATTGTAAGAGTGTGTACATGTTTGAGTTTAGTTTAGCGTGACTGACTGCAGGTTTGAGTGTCTGTACGTTCCTCTCTGCAGGGTTTCCGGCTCCAGGACGAATGTGTTCATGCGCTTTAAGAGCACGTCTGCAGACGGGCTGCTGATGTGGAGAGGATCCAGCCCAATGAGAGCTAACAGTGACTTCCTGTCTCTGGGACTGCAGGACGGGGCGCTAATGTTCAGGTGAAAGCACCCCCACACATCCACACAGCAGGACATAAACTTAAACATTCTCACCATTCAAATGTCCACATTATGGACATAATATTTAAATATCTTAACAAGGAAATTTTACATGCTGTTATGAACTTTAAAAAGAAAAGAGTAAGTTTAACATTCTTTTATTGCTGTGAGTGTGATTAGACGTGTTCATAAGGGTTAGCAGTGGATGCAATATCAGTTCAATTCGCTGCAGTTTACACATCATACACCATTTATTTCTTTATTTAATTCCACTACACATGCTTTGTTGAAGCACCTGACTGAATAACTGAACACTAAGATGAATTTGGATGTCCATGTGTTTGAATGAACACAAACAGAATGTACACACAGTCCCTGGTGTGATGCTGACTGTCCTGTGTCCTTTGCAGTTATAATCTGGGCAGCGGTGCTGCGGTTATTGTGGTAAACGGAACCTTCAGTGATGGGAAGTGGCACCGAGTGAAAGCTGTCAGGTCAGAGAAGACTTCTACTTCTGCTGTTACTTACTGTACTGTAGAAACTCCTCCAGGATGGACGTAGGAGTTACTGGGTCAGAAATCACTGATGATCTCCAGACTGACAAATCTGCTTCATTTTGGAAATGATGTTAATGTTCCCAGTAGATGGTGGTATATAGAGGCTTTAAAATGGGCTCCATTGAAATGGGTGCTTTGGAGTCATAACATCTGAACTGTTTGGGTTGGATGTATGAAATATTCAGGGATTATTGTTTTGCTTTAAATTGTGTTTAACTACCAAAACAGAAGATACTGGACACATTATTTCCTAAAATAATTCTGCAAATCTGAGACGGTCAGTGAAGACTGGTGATTTGAGCTGGATTTACCCTACTCTATGGTCGAGAAACTGTACAGCAATCTCTCTCTCTCTCTCTCTGTCTTTCTCTCTCTCTCCCTGCAGGGATGGGCAGTTTGGTAAACTGACTGTGGATGATTACGGGGCTAAAACAGGCAGATCGCCAGGCAAGATGAGGCAGCTCAACATTAACGGAGATCTTTACGTTGGTATGGAAAAATCTTTTTTACATATGACAGTATTTTGATACTTATCAAACTGTAATCTGCTCTTAACTGTGTTACCACACCACCTGGCCTGATTTCTCCACTATGCTCAGTGGACCTACTGTTAGAAAAAAGTGATGATGATGGTGGTGGTGGTCTTTCTGCAGGTGGGATGAAGGAGATCGCCCTGCACACCAGCAGGCAGTACCTGGCAGGGTTAGTAGGCTGTGTTTCACACTTCACTCTGTCTACCGACTACCACGTTTCTCTGGTGGAGGACGCTGCCGACGGCAAGAACATCAACACCTGCACCAACTGAGGACAACAACATATACAACTACAACTAAAAACATTATACAACAACCTCAATATCTGTGACTCAAAACAACTGAAGACCAAACCTCTACTAAAGTAGAACACCTGAACCAACTGAAGACCAAACCTCTACTAAAGTAGAACACCTGAACCAACTGAAGACCAAACCTCTACTAAAGTAGAACACCTGAACCAACTGAAGACCAAACCTCTACTAAAGTAGAACACCTGAACCAACTGAAGACCAAACCTCTACTAAAGTAGAACACCTGAACCAACTGAAGACCAAAACCCTGCACTGCAGCAGCTGGAATAGTAAAGATCAGTAGTTAGACTTAAGACATCTGTAATTATAATGTTGATTCCTGAATCTGATGAAAGAGCTAAAACAGCTGACCACTGATGACCTCAGCTTCTTCCTGACCATGTCTTCTTTGTCATGGAGGACAGTTTTGGAGAAATGACTGTGTTTTTTTTTGTACGAGCTTTATTTGATATCAAAGTTCATCATGAAATATAGAAGCTTTAGAGGAGAATTTTTAAAAACAATGTTATTTTTTCTCTGTGTGGAGAATCTGATGAAGTTCCTCTATGTTCCTCAGACCTGTGTGTGTTTTAGCGTTACAGTTTGCTAATGTTGGTTTGTGCTGTGTGTGTTTAGGCTGATAGTAGCAGAAAAGTAATTTATGTATTTTTGAGTTTTCTTTTTTTTAATCTCCACATTTTCTCGGTCGTTTCCCTGCCTTCCTCTGCTCCTAATAGCTACAACAGCTTGAAAATCCCAAAGATTCCTGTGTTTTTAGAGCTCCTGTTATTTGTGCTGTTTCTCTATGTAAAGGTCAAAATCTCAAGAGACAAACTTTATGCCTTGATGCTCAAAAAGCCTCTCATTTTTGCCATCTAAGATGTGACTTATGATTTATTATTTCTGAAATAAAATGAAGACTTTCAGACCTTGGATTGTAAGCTGCAGTGTCCACTCTGTTGTCTTCATTCACATACGCTTTTACTCTACGCTATTTACGTAAATGAGCCCAAAGGGGGTCCTGGGTGCTGTGGTCCTCCATTTTGGTGACCTCACTAACGTGTGGATGTAGAGGGTAAGAGACTGACCTGGTGAGATGATGCTGTGGTCATACTCACTTTTCTGAAGGAGATAATTTGCTGATCTACAGTTTCTCTTGTACCAAAGCATTTTAACTCTTCACTCCAACCCTGAATATCTTCTTCTCCACTATGTTGGTCAAGCGGCTGTAACAAACTCCTCCACTCTGACCGGTCCTAGCCTGGATCTCAAGGGGCTAGGCCAGGACCAGGGACCTTATCAAAGGATAACAGGCCACATCAACGCAGCCCTCACCAAGACCACACTAGAGGGCGCTCATGAATATCCATTTGAAAACCAAAATAAGTTGTTGCTAGGTGGTTGCTTTGGTATTCTAAGAGGCTGCTGGGATGTTGTCAGGTGGTTAACAGGGTTCCCTGTGTGATTGCTAGGGTGTTGCTATGTGGTTGCTAGGGTATCTCAAGTGGTTGCTAAGGTGTTGCTAGGTGGTTGCTAGGGAACCCCAAATGGTTGTGAGGGTGTTGCTAGGTGGTTACTAGCACATCCCAAGTGATTTCTAGGCTGCTGCTAGCGTTTCCCAAGTGGTTGCTAGGGTGTTGCTTGGTGGTTGCTAGCATATTTCAATTGCTTGCTAGGGTTAGTGGTTGCTGTTAGTTAGTTAAAGAGTAGAATAAGCTATGCTAGATGAAGGAAAGCACAGTGGGCATAGTGTGGGGTCACCAGGCCTGTGGTCGGGGGGAGTGCAGATTAAAGTCTTCATAACTCAGTTCATCACTGTAATTTCAAATGTTCATTTTGTTCCTGCTTTCTGAGAATCATCTCTCTTGGCTGCCTAAGCTCAAAAATGAATCTGCGAGTAATCACAGTAACTGTTCAACTGACCTAAAAACAGAAAGAGTGTGTGACAATACTTCTTGACCAGCGGTCAGATTAATCCTAAGAACACAAAAGATTAAAACTGAGCGGCTTTCCCTGCAAACTTTGGGTAGATTGTGAATTACGCGAGTGCGTTTGTGCGCTTTATCCCCGCTGCGTGGATTTCCAGCCGAGCGTCCAGAAGAGCTCAGAAAGAACGGACAGTTCAGTCTAATCTATCTTTCTCTTTCTCAGAAAATCCCTCCATCTGAGAGAACCAACAAATCGAGGACATGCTTAGGGCAAACTTGTAAGGGAATGATGGACAGATGCTGCACCCGACACACGACACACCTGAGATGTTCGTGAGTCGCTGCATGAGAGTCTCAGTTGAGTCTTGAGTTTCTAAAGGGGGTTCTAGACTAAACATGGACATTTAGAGCTTGAAGCTCTAAAAGTCATTCCATGTGTTTATTCTGAATCTTGCGTCAGTCATTATCATATATCTGAGTTTGTATGTGTCAGTTTTATAGTGACTCTTTCAGTAAAGAGTCCTGCGTAGAGCTGCTGCCACTGTTTAACATTCCTAACAACTAACCGGAACACTGCTTAGACTACAGCTCATATTCACAGTCAGTAATGTATCTAGAACCTCCAGAAGGACTAGAGTGATATTTTTTGATTCCACTTCTTGTAAATCAGAGTGTGATTGGTTGATTCCTTTGTCACTTCCTAGTTATGGTGGTAGTTAATCTAGCGTGTAAGGCCTTCAATCCAGATCCTGAAGTCCTAACCAATGGGAGAGCTTGCTCAGCTCTATCTACCACAGAGAGAACAATCCTGATTGGATGATTTTCTGTTTCAAGAATTTGACTCATTTGTTTCAACACTGAAAGAAGAGTATTACTACAATACTTACACAGTTTAAACACAACAAGTCTTGAAGTCATTAGGCCTTCCCTGAACACCTAGAAGGTCCTGAGAGTTCCTCACTGGTGGCTTCTGACCTCCCTTGCTAAAGGGAGGTATCAAGTCATAGGTGTCAAGTTTCCTCTGTTATGTCCTCACTATGATGCTGTGAACCTGAATGTCTAGGACGAGCTCTTCTCCTCTGAGCTCGCGGTGGAAGTGTGAGCAGAGTCTGGCCGCTGTGAGTCTGGCCGCTGTGATGTGGTGAGTGGGGAACTAGATTAGCGCTGTTATTGTCTGCACGTCCACTGCGGTATCAGGATACAGGGATTACGCAGAGACAAATATAATCCCACACGTTCAAATCTCACCCACACAGAGCTCCGCTTCCCCTCACTCGCTGAGAGAGATCACTGCCGCCTGGATTACACAGACCACGAACGCAGAGCGCAGTTCAGGGTGGAGCAGGGTGATGAAGATATGAGGAAGAGGAGCAGGGCGCTACTGTCTACGATCATCTGAAGCGCAGCAGGTAGAACCTTTACACTGAACCACTGCCTTTAGAACTGCTGTACTGCTTTTAGTGTTCACAGTGTGAGCTCTAAACTTAACAGGGGTTCGGTTCTCTTTAGCGCTGCTGAGATCTCAGGCCACCTGTTGTTCACACCTGGGTAACACTGAATTATGGGCACTCAGTTTAATTTAGTGTTTATTAAATTCCGATTTACTTTATTGTAGTCTGAACGTTCTCCTCAATAGAAATAGCCATTGTACCATTGTGAGATGCCTTCATGACAACTTTGCACTCCTTTGCACATGCTTGTGATGTTCTTCCATACAGTATACCGCCACCTGCTGGACTGAAGTGCCCGTGTAAGCATTTCCCAGCTTTTTTCAATGGCAAAATCTGAAAGCATGCATTTTTGGGCTCTTCATTAAACTCGAGCATGAAATTCATCTAGTCAGTTAGCCTAGCTCTTAGCTAAGGCCAGAGCTGCAGCGTGCAGGTGACTTTTTAGGTTTGCAGAACAGCTCTGGTAGTGCAGTATTCTGATTATATGTCAACACATATCAAGGCAGAAACATTCATGCAATTACTGCAAATGATGTGCTGCGCTGCACTGAATGTTTGCTAATGCTGAGGAAATGAAAAAAATGTGTTTAGTAAGTTGCCTTCATAAACATGAACACAACATGAACAATTAAAAAAAACAGAGTACTGGAATGTCCCCAATAAAAACCATACATATGCTATATTATGTATCCCATTATTGTATGTTATGGGGCCTGAAGAATGACGTTTCATTGCACTGTAAACAAGTTATATTAAAGAATGACAATAAGGTCCACTTGAACTTGTACTGATGTGCAGCTCTACTCCTCCGCAGCACATCTGGAGGGTTTCTGTGCTTGTGGTTATCTTCACAAATTAACAATTAACCTTCTCTGGATCACTGATGCAATATACGGTTTAAAAGCTTGAAATCTCAGGACTCAAAACCCGCAAACCATTTTATGATCCTTTACAGTTACGATTGTCATTTGCAATAAGCACCATGAGGTGCAGGAGTCAGAAATAAACTCCATTCTAGCCTCTGATACTCTGTATTAGTGTTTCATACAATTATTCTGATGGTTGGGAAAAATCTGATATTGTTCCCTTTCAAATGAGACCAAGATCATGACTGTAGCCTGGTCTTTTTGGGAACAGTGCCACCCTTTACTGTGGGTACACCATTACAGGCAAAAAAGGGGTGACAATTAACAGGTTGAATCATAAAACGTTCCATATGTTTTTACATTTTCTGTACATAAAATCATAAAGCTGCACGTTTCGTTATGTTTCTGAATAACCACATCCTTTCCAAGTAAGACTCCCATTTATTTCTGATGTCCCCTCAGAGAGTCAGCTCTGGAGCCAAAGCTTGAAATGTATTTTGGAGTGGCTAGAGGAGGTGAGGAGATCTGGAGGAGGTGTGAAGGATGGAGGAGGTCAGGAGGAGGTGTGGAGGAAGTATAGAGGATGGAGGAGGTGTGGAGGAGGTGTAGAGGATGGAGGAAGTGTGGAGGAGGTGTGGAGGAGGTGTAGAGGATGGAGGAAGTGTAGAGGAGGTGTAGAGGATGGAGGAAGTGTGGAGGAGTGTGGACGAGGTGTAGAGGAGGTGTAGAGGATGGAGGAAGTGTGGAGGTGGTGTGGAGGAGGTGTAGAGGATGGAGGAGGTATGGAGGAGGTGTAGAGGATGGAGGAAGTGTGGAAGAGGTGTAGAGGAGGTGTGGAGGAGGTGTAGAGGATGGAGGAGGTGTAGAGGGTGGAGGAGGTGTAGAGGAGGTGTGGAGGAGGTGTCTCTGTCTCTCTCTCTCTCCCTCATTCTCTCTCTCTGTCTCTCTCTCTCTCTCTCTCTCGCTCTCTCTCTCCCTCTCTCTCTCTCTCTCTCTCTCTCTCCTCTCTCTCTCTCTCTGTCTCTCTCTCTCTCTCTCTCTTCCTCTCTCTCTCTCTCTCTCTCTCTCTCTCTCCCTCTCTCTCTCTCTCTGTCTCTGTCTCTCTCTCTCTCTCTCTTCCTCTCCCTCTCTCTCTCTCTCTCTCTCTCCCTCTCTCTCTCTCTCTCTCTCTCTCTCTCTCTCCCTCTCCCTCTCTCTCTCTCTCTCTCTCTCTCTCTATGACCTCCATCTGTCTCGGCCCTGATGGACAGATTACAGACAATAGAGTAAAGCCCTCATCCTGGCCCATGTGCTCTGTTTCTCCTCTCTTCTCTACAGTAGGACGTGAACGTGCAGCACTGCCAGCCGGGCGCTAACATGGCAGGGGGACTGAGTTCCATTCCATCAGATATTTACAAAAAAAGAGAGACAGAATATTAAAAACATGAAAGGTTCCACATTTAAATCTGACGAATCTATTCCTCTAATGAAGCTCACAGGACTAACCTGCGCTGTTTTATGTTGGTACAGGTTGTGCTCAGTAAGCTAGCCTGCTATCAGACAGCCTGCTAGCATAAAGTAGCTAATCTAATGCTAACTAACTCAGATATTAATGAAGCTTTAATATTTAATTAATGGAAACTGAAAAAGTGAAACCACGGTGGAGATCACGATTCTTTGCTGCTTTCAGTTCCACAGCAAAGCTGATGATACTGTATGTTTTAATGTGCGTTTACAGTATTCTTATAATGACAGCTCACCTCAGCGGGAGGCTGGATGATGGACAGGTGTTTAGGGTGTTGTGCTTTACTTCCCTCAGTGCTGGGTGGTCAGCTCTTTGATCTTTTTGTGTTTCATCTCTCGGTGATGAAGATGCTGGAGATGATGGAGCTGCAGAAGCACCTCCTCTTTAGGAAAGTGGACGTTCCTGACCATGTGCACTACACGCTGGCCTTCATCATCCTCATGGTGGGAACTCTGGGAGTGGCTGGAAACACACTGGTCATTTTTGCTTTCTGCAGGTCAGTCTGGGGGAGTTTGGGGGCACTGTGGGTCCCCCAGCAGGGTTTGGGCTTCAGGCTTTAGTAAGAGTGGTAGGATTAGAGGAACTTCGTTTTCCTTTTGGGTAAACTACATTTCAGTCAGTCACGCTGGTGTTACACTAAACAACAACAACAACAACGATACAAATAGAGCAAACAGATAAACAACAAAACTAAAATCTGAGTTTGATAGCAATACCAGATACAGTCACACAACATTTAATATCAAAGCAATATTATGGCCAAAAAAATAAAAATCACCTAATATTTATTGTACTGAACTACGACTGAAATTAATGTTTAATGTCATTTTTGATTAAAACAAGATAATCATTCAAATAATAATTGGGATATATATTTACTGAGGTCTGAGTTATTAAATTCTGATTTAGGGTTCTAGTTCTAGCTAACGTGCTCTTTGGTAGTTGCATTTATTTCCACTGAGAGCATGCTAGCTTTATGCTAGCAGTTAAAAGCATGTTCATATTTCTGCCGTCTGACTGACGTCTCTGAGTTTAGCACGAGCTTTTCAGCAGGGTAAAAAGCTTGTAGGCAGAACCAAAGATGACCCAGCAGCGTCAGTGTGTGGTTCAAAACACTCGACCCATAAAGGAAACATTCAAATTAGCAGTCATTCTAAAGCTAAAGACTCCATCCTGCTGATGTAGCAGGAGCCCTGATGAGTTCAGCTGCTCCTGACTTACGATTCGGTGTTGTTGTTTAGATGTAATGATGTCACATCCCTCCAGAGAGCTTTTCATCATTTACATACACAAGATGGTTCAACACTGACCTACATCAGAATAAAACATTAACAGCCACACCAGCGACGGGACGGTCACTCTGCTCACGACTCACTCACAGCCTTATCACTGACATCACAGTCAGCGTTTCCTGCCTTTGTGAAAAACATCTGGTGTTTTTTTACTTCTGTTCATGTTCTGAGGTTCAGTTATGCTGGGGATGAATGTAGACTAGTGAAGTGTCACATTAAAGACAGTGTAAAACAAAACTCCTCGCAGAACTGCAGTTAATCAAAAAGCAGATTTTACTATTATTCTAATTGTGATTATGCTGGTGGTGCCCTCTGGTGCCCAGAGCCCCGCATTACAGCCCACTGTGTTAGTACGGCTGTGTGGGGGGCTGGTGGTGGTCCGCTAAAAGCATGTAAAATCTTCTAAAGCTCCTTTCCAGTCCAGCCCGGCTGCTGTGCGTTATCACATCCTCTTTAACTGCCTCAGTGATCTGGGTCAGCGGCCTGAAAGTGGAGCAGGAGAGCCAGCATTAGGGTCAGCACTGCTGTTGCCGTTTACCCTCCTAATACACACACACTAACGCTGAGATTACAGCACACACACACACACACACACACACACACACACACACACATATATACATATGTGTGTGTGTGTATATATATATATATATATACACACATATATAAGATAATCCACAGGCCACTGAAATACTGCAGTAAACATACATCATTACAGACACGGAGCTCATGAGTTTTGCTTTTTTCTCCCATAATCTGAAAATATAATCTGTAATTTGTTGGATGATGATGGAAGATGAGTGTGTGTGTATTTCCACTGCTGTAACTGTGTTTATTATTAGATCTATTAGACATATTTATGTTTTCTGCTGGCATATCTGATATTATGACTGCATAATGAAGAGCGTAACGTATTTGTTCCTCTGATTCCATGATGGAGAAAGTTTACTGTTAGATTTGGAAACTCCAGCCGCCTCGGTCATCAAAAGACACAGACTGGACATCAGGGCTCTCACAAAATGGCGTTCCATATCTTTAGTAGTTGGAAGTCGGCACATTTGGAGGAAAATATTCTGACCACTAACTTCATTAAGTCCAACTTTATCAGCTCCACTGACCGTATAGCTTCACTATAGTTCTACAGTTACAGACTGTAGTCCATCTGTTTCTCTGCATACTTTTTTACCCTGTTCTTCAGTGGTCAGGACCCCCATGGACCCCCACAGAGCAGGTACTATTTGGGTGGTGGATCATTCTCAGCACTGCAGTAACACTGACGTGGTGGTGGTGTGTTAGTGTGTGTTGTGCTGGTCTGAGTGGATCAGACACAGCAGTGCTGCTGGAGTTTTAAACACCTCAGTGTCACTGCTGGACTGAGAATAGTCCACCAACCAAAAATATCCAGCCAACAGCGTCCTGTGGGCAGCGTCCTGTGACCACTGATGAAGGACTAGAGGATGACCAACACAAACTGTGCAGCAGCAGATGAGCTATCGTCTCTGACTTTACATCTACAAGGTGGACCGACAAGGTAGGAGTGTCTACTAGAGTGGACAGTGAGTGGACACTGCTGGTCATCGTTCCCTTCAGGTCTTCTGTATGTGTCTGAATAGATTCAGGCATTTATTACTGTAAATATTGAGATATGAACCTGAATAAAGAACTTCAATGTGTGTGTTTCAGTAACAGGAAGTTGCGCACGTTGCCGAATTTCTTCATCATTAACCTGGCGGTCAGTGACCTGCTGATGGCGCTAACGCAGTCTCCGCTGTTCTTCATCAACTGCCTGCACACACAGTGGATAATGGGGGAGCTGGGTAACCCACTCTATTTTTATACAATATTACAGTTCATAGGTGCAGTGAAAGGTTTAATATGCTTATAATAACACAGATCTGGTTCTGGAATCTGATTGGATGAGTCATGTTTGAACACGAGAATGACTGCAAACTAAACTGATTTCTGTATTAATGTTATTAAAATCCATTAAAACCCTTTAGTTAATCAGAGCTGTTACTGGGTCACTGTACAGTTAATGAACTTATTATTAATAATGAATTAGATGATACTGAACATTGGTGCATCTTATCATATAGTATTGTTTGAGTGTTTTATGAAGCAGTGAAGCAGCTCTGAAGGCCGTATGTTACAGTGATGTTAATCTGCAGCTGCTGAAATCACTGTAAAGCTCCATTCACAGTAAAAAGCAGTGGCAGGTTTTAACGCAGTGGAAGCTTCACATCAAGTCCAGTGCATTGTTAAAACTGAGCACATGGGAAAACATCTATAAACAGTCTCAGTGGTGTAAGTGTTTTTGTGCTGCGACAGTTGAGATGAGCTCTTCTGGTTCCCATAGTGATGCACACTGGACTGATGATGGAGCTCTGATTGGTCAGCCTGACCTTAACATCTGCAAACCATAAACTGAGCTCTGATTTAAACACTTACGTAACATAAGTGTTTGTTTTCAAAACGTTTCTGACTCATCCATAAAATCTGTGGTCTTAACTCCTGTTTGGGTCCACTGCTGGATCCAGAGCTGCATTAAGCTCTTCTGACCGGTCTGCTCTGCTCTGATTAAGTACTGGTCTGTGAATCTCTGCAGTCTGTAAGCTCTATGCGTTCTGTGGAGCGCTGTTCGGGATCACATCTATGATAACCCTGCTGGCCATCTCAGTGGACCGTTACCTGGTCATCACCCATCCGCTGAAGGCCATGCGGTGGAACTCCAAAATCAGAACCTTCATCACCATCATCCTCGTCTGGGTCTACTCGCTGGCCTGGAGCCTCGCTCCTCTGATTGGCTGGAGTAAGTCTCAACACACTAAAATATGTAAATATTACCTCCACCAGCAGCACTTCATCGGAAATCCCACCCTTTCAGCGCCTGTTCATCAGTGTTTATGCATGTTGTAGCTTCGTTATGATTATAGTGGTATATGTTTATGCGTGTGGCTGCAGGTTCCTACGTGCCGGAGGGTCTGATGACGTCGTGTACGTGGGATTACGTGTCTCCCTCTGCGGGGAGCAGGAGCTACACGCTGGCGCTCTGCTGCTGTGTGTTCTTCGCTCCGCTGGGGATCATCATCTACTGCTACATCTGCATGTTCCTGTCTGTCCGCAGAGCCAGCAGGTCACTCACACTCTTACATATTCATATAGAATATATACGAGTCATATTATTAATATTACATGTACATATGTTCATGTACATATACAGGGACGTGTCCAGGCTGGGTTCTCAGATGAGGAAGCAGGACGTGTCCCGTCCCCGGCACAGTGTCCGCAGTGAGTGGAAGCTGGCGAAAATCGCCGCTGTGGTCATCACCGTGTACGTGCTGTCCTGGGCCCCGTACGCCTGTGTGACCCTCATCGCGTGGGCCGGGTGAGGGATTAAACCGAAAGTTCAGCTAAAAAACAAATGTACCTAATTCACCGCGACGGTAGTTGAGCAGCTGGGATGTTTTTGGTGTCTGAAGTTTGATTCTTTAGTTTTAGCACTGGAGCTACGAGGCTAATATAGCTCACAGGTAATGGAAGCTTTTACCCCACCAATTAGCATTCAGTGTGTCCAGCATCATTTAAGGTGGAATGGAAAAGTGAAGGTGATGAGTATGAAGCCAAATTCATCTTCAAACCTCAAAGCATGTGAAGTTGTTCAGTGTCTCTAATAGACTTGACGATATGGTTTCTGACACTGTGTGACTCACTGTATCTATGAACATGGACTAAATTCAGACTGGGAGGAAATAAACTCACCATTGCAAATGCGTTTGTCCTGATTACTGTTGGCATTAGAATTATATTTATGTGTCATGGATACAAAAAGAGAAGCAAAGTATTTATATTTATTGTGAATAAGTACATAAAATAACTATGACTTCTAAATGACCAGTGACTGGCCTGTTAATCCAGAGCTCTCCTTTGGTGTCAGGTATGCTCACCTACTCAACCCGTACTCTAAAACTGTACCAGCAGTCATAGCCAAGGCATCCGCAGTCTACAACCCCTTCATATACGCCATCATACATGCCAAATACAGGTAAACCCACCTTCATCACAGCGCCTTAGTGTAACGTTACACTCTCTAAGGTTTATTTCCCCTCTGACAGATCAAAACTACTGCCCAGAAAAGGGCTGTTCGGTCATGTGTTTTAGGTCACTTGGCTTGTAACTCACACTCATAGTTTAGCAGGCTGAAGGTTCTCCACAAGGGGGAGCTCTTAGCACCAGTGGTAGAACAGCCTAAAAGTACCTTTAAATAAAACAACTTGAGTAAAAGTACAAAAGTATCAAAAAACTCAAAAGGTCAAAAAACTGCTTAAGTACTGAGTAAAGAACTATAGAACTGCAGTGGAGCTTCTTAGTAAATCCAAAGTAAAATACCAAAGCTCTAAAGTCAGAAATGTGACCAATCACAAAGCAGCGCAGATGTTGTCAACAACAAAACAGAATGAAACTAAACACAAAAACGGACTTTCGTAACTAAAGATGAACAGCTAAATTGTAACTGAGTAAAAATAGACTCCTTTAATCATTAATGTACTTGAGTAGAAATAAAAGTATTATGATTTGAAATACTCTGCAGAGTAAAAATCCATCAAGTACAAGTACTGGAGTAAACGTAACTAGTGACTACCCTCCTCTGCTTTAGTGAACTTTAGCCTTAGTGAACCTCATTAGAATGGAGGAGAGTTTCTGTTGTAGTTCAGTGAGTTTCAGTCTCAGACACTCAGACTCAGACTGTCTGATGTAAACTGCACACTAAAATCAGCACAGCTCTCAGAGTCTCACAGTAAACTGGCTCTGGATCTCCACACTTCCCTGCACTGGGTTTATCACTCTGACTGGAAATGGAAACTGCTTTATCAAGCTCTTATGTTAAACAGTTATTGGTTGTTTGCATTTAAGTCAAACGGCTCTTCGGTTCTTTGACTTCAGAAGAAAAACTCTTCCTGCCAGTTTATTCAGCTACTGTACTTCAGGCAGTGTCCTAGACTAGCCTAGAGCTGCCCACAGCGCCCACTAGTGGATTTATTAGTCTGAGAGTTCATGCAGCCCCTACTGTGCTGTAATGCTGCTGTGTTAGGAGATGTTTTTATGTTTAATACACTCTACCTGTGTGTTTGCGTGAGCTCAGAGCGACGCTGGCGGAGAAAGTTCCCGGCTTATCGTGTCTGTCCCACATCTCGGGGAAAGGTCGTCTCTCCTCGTCCAACAGCGAGTCTTCACTCAGCAGACAGTCCAGTCTGTCCAGGAACAAAGTGCACACGACCTCGTTCACCTCCAGGAAGGTACAGCACCTGTTCAGACACGCCTCCTCAGAATAAAGTGTACTCAACACTGTGTAATAACATAAGAGAGAAACTCTTAACAGAAACATTCACCTTCTATTAAATACAGCTGTTTATACCCCGCCTACCAACCACACACCCAATTGGCTCTGACACATTAACGAGGACACACCTTCCACTAATTAACTTTTAACAACGTATTCGCCATAATTAGGATGTTTACAGTTCACCAAAGATTTAAACGAAGGCTACTTGTTATGGTGGATTTCAAATACTTCAGTATAGGGAGGCATTATAATAGACCTGTAATGTGCTTATTAAGCCAGTAACTGGCTGCTCATTACTACTTTATTAAGCAGAATCTTGGGTGAATTAAGCATTTTACAGAGCACTTAAAAGTAAATATTTAAATTATAATCTTTTGCATGATTCATTTCCATTATTGTACCCTTATTAAGCCTTATTAAACCAATGGTGAGTTTCTCAATTAACAAGCCAGTAACTGATTATTAATTGGCTGCTTATTACTACATCATTGAGCTTTGCACTCAACTGGACTCAAGAAACGCTCCACTTCATCCCCAAGATCAAGACCAACACCACTGATCTCTGGTGTTTAAATAATACACAAATTAACATGCTCTAGAAAATGCTTAATCAACTGTAGTTACTGCTTAGTAATGCAGTAATAAGCAGCTTGTTAATTAGTTCCTAATGCCCTCATAAGACTTAAAAAGGGCATCATAATGTCCCTCATGTAGAAGTGTTTCTTTTTTGCATTTAAAATGTTTTTGTAAATGAAGTCAAACATGGATGCAGGGCTGACAGTGCTTTACTGTGCTGTGTGACTGCAGGTGATGGGACAAATGGAGCTGGACCTGATTGAGAGCAGGCTGGCGTCTTTCAGACGTTCATGCAGACAGCAGTGCATCACCAAGTCCTCCTCTCTAACTCACACCAAGGTGAGCACCAGACTCAGGATAAATCTCGATATCATTTTCACAAAACAAATAATGTTATCTGAAAAAAGTTGATGAAGTTTTGTCCATTGTGTCACAATACTGATCTAAATAACTTGAGATCTGGAGAAAACAGCAGTAGTTTTGCTGTGATAATGACATAAAATATCACATGATCTTGAGAAAACAAATGAAAAACTTGTCCAGGAAAAACTGAGTAAAACTGGCAGCTCTCTTATTTAGCATTACGCCTTATTAAGCCTTCTCTTTAAGTGGTCTTTGTCTTTATACTGCTAATTACTGCTAGGGATTTGCAATGTTATGTTAGCACCAAGCTAACGGTGGTGTATATTCACTTTCCCACACTGGCTTTAATGCCACTCATGGCTGCTGTGGGTAAATTCAGACATCTGAAGCTTGGAAAAAAGTTCTTTAGTAAAGACAATGGTTCTAAATAGAAGAACTATGAAGACCTATTTGCATTCTTTAATGGTTCTGCATGGTGAAATAGTTCTTCAGGTTGATGGCATGTGTGTTGTATATGATTCTATATAGAACATTTTTAAAAATGGTTCCATATAGCACTAAAACGGTTCTTTAATTGTTTGACATCCTAACAGTAGCGGAACCATTTTGAGTGCTACATAGAACCATTATCTCTTCTAAAGAACCTTCAAAGACGTATCTTTGTCCAGAGTACATGACTTTAAAAAGACGTGTAATCAAAAAGTAATCAGATTATGTTACTGTGAATAGAAGACGCTTTGATTAGTTTACAGGTTAAGGTCTAAACAGGTGGTCAGTGATGGGGACCCTCCTGGTCAGACGTGTGTCTCTGTGTGTGTTTTTTCACACTGGCTTCCTTTTCTGATCTGATATGATATTAAACTACAGAAGATCTATAATAATTCTGTTAGAATTCTTTTACTTTGGTGTTTCTCTCTGTCTGCAGCCCTCAGTCTGCGTGAGAGAGTCTCTCAGTCTGTGTGAACAGGAACTCGTCTCCGGCTCCCTCGCCATGGCAACGGTCCCCACCAAAAGTACGGATGTGACCTTTGACCCTGCGAGTGACCACAGAGAAACCCAGAGCCCCCCAGAAACTCCCAGAAATCGCTGCAGCGTCAGCCTGACATCAGAAAGCAGCTTTAACACGGGGGAGAGATCAGCTCTGCTCAGCCAATCAGATTCAGCGCAGACTTAAATACCTCATACACCCCCTCGGTGCAGCTCAGCCTTCGGGTCAGGACAGAAAGGTCAACACTCGGTCAGAAAAAGAGAAGAACCCACCTGTATGATCATGATAGCCTCCCTGATGGATTCTCATCATATCACTGAGTTCTAACATCAGCAGCAAAACCAAAACTGACCCATCATACTCAGCCCCATGGTGTGGAGAACAGGAGGATCTGTACCACCCTGTGTGTTCATACTCTGACGATACACAGCGTAGCTAGAACACTCACCCATTATAGCTGAGATCTCCAGCCGTTTCCTGATAGATCTGTGGTTTGTTTACGTTTGTTCTTTACGGTGTGTTCTTGATGTGTTTTCTAGTGTAGACGTCCCAAAGGCTTTGTGATGTGATGCAGTGCTGTATTGAACGTTTCCTGTTAGGACACAGTGTGATGTTCTGTATCTGTTACCTTAGAACGTTTACAAGGCCTGGTTAAAGCTGAAAAGAGTTCAGGGAATCAAAATACAACAACAAAATCAACAATAAGCATCAAATTTCAGGTTTACAATTTACTGATGAAGCGCTTAACGCAGAGGTCTTCAAAGTGGTCCTCACGGCCCCCCAGATGGTCCACATGTTTGCTCCATCCTTATGCATCCACTGCCTTTACCCAGCAAACTGCCCACAATGATATACTATGTAATTCTTTTCCCACCAAAAGTCAACCAAAAACAAACAATAGTCCACATCACTAGAAGTGTCCAGCAATCAAATCAAGTCAGTCCTCAATGCTCCTTAGAGAATAAAGTGGAATGACCCAATGACCGCAGTAGAATGTGGAAAAAAACAGTCAAATGTATGGTCAGGAACGTCAAGCATAACCCAGGAGTGACCAACCGAGGGTGGGTGGGGTACTCCACCATACACTCTTAAAAAAACATGGTTCTTCAAGGGTTCTTTAGTGAAGAAAATGGTTCTATATGGAACCGTGAACACTCAAAGAACCTTTGGCATGATAAAAGGGTTCTTTGCATGGTAAAATACACTGTAGATGGTTCTATATAGAAGCTTTTTGAAAAGGGTTCTATATAGCACCAAAAGGGTTCCACTATAATAACCCTTTTTCGGTACTATATAGAACCCCTTTGGCCTTAGGACCTTAGGAAAAAAATGGGTTCCTTGGGTTTATAGCTCCATGTTCAGACAGGGAAGAGTTCCCAGTGGAGAACATCTTCCATCAAGCAGCTGCCAGAGAATCATCTCCCTCAACCAAACACACCACAGTGTCCACACAGGGAGTGTTTTTAAGGCCTTATTCCCTCCATTTCCTACTTCCTGATTTAGGAGAATGGGAGTCCAGTGAGGGTCAAAAGGCAAGTGAGTGTTGGATACATGCAGAAGATTTGAAATCAAATACCTGAAACCTCCTGTTATACATACCAAATCAAACAAGGTACCCAAAACATGTGTGCACATCACAGCGTAGCGCTGAGTTAACCTGGAAAACCGTCCTTGTTTCAACCAGAGAGGGAGACGCTGGCTGAGGATGAGAACTGTGAACTCAGTCTCTTTATCTAGAACAATAAACCTCATATAAAGGCTCTAAGATAGCTACCTAGCACTCAGTAAGCAGCCATGCATACACAGAGACTCAACCACACTCAGGTATCACAGTCACTGTGAAATAATCCCACTTCAGGCTTAAACAACCCAAACCTAGAGCAGCACATAAGAAATAGATGAGGGAATGAAAAGAAAAGACCTGAAAGTGAGATCAAACCATATTTCCTAGTGTTTGTGTTGATGTTTTTTTGAATGGTTAGTCTTTTTAATGGTCATTTTGCTGCACGGTTATCCACAGAGGGCCGGAGGGTCTGCAGGTTTCCTTTCCAATCAGGCAGGAGCTCCTCATGTAACTAATCAGCTGTTTGAAGGCTGAGACCAACTGAATCCAGAAGCTTGATTGGAATGAAAACACACAGCCACTCTGCTCCTCTGCAGGGTAGATTCCTATGCTGTAACATGATTTTTGTGTAAGATGAACTTGAATCCTGATGTTTTGTCTTTTTGTTTTAAACCAAACTGATCGCTTTACTGCACTGACGTTTCCATTCACCTTGACTGAGACCTGCTTAGACTACATAAAGTTGCAGGCAGTACTGCGTCTCAGTGTTGGATTGACCTATGTTGTAAAATTGCCCTAAAATTCCAGCCAACGTCACTAATACACAACACAGATTGTCACAGAGTGCTATACAGTGATTAGCAGCATCACAATGAAAACAACCTATATAACATTTTAATAAATATCTAATTAACCTTAATACATGTAACACCTGCTGGCAGAACAACAGCAAGAGAGTCTCTTTCCCTGAATGGCAAAACACAAGTGGACCACTACTGTACTCTATCATATATTTTCTTTTTTGGATATTCTGTTGAATATCATACTGGATATTTGGATGTACTACAAGGCAAGATGTTCCATATTAATGGTTGAATGAAAAAAAACGACCAAACACAAACCGTTGATTTTGCTTAGTTTTTAATGCCAAGGATACTGGAAGGATACTGACTAGCATTTAGATTAATAAACCAAAGTGTGTTTCCTCTGGTACTGATAAAAATCAGAAAATAGAGTTGCATATTCATAAAAACAAAAAGCATTCAAATGGGTTTGCAGTTTATATATACATATATACTCAATTTAGAAGTATTTTCAGTAGAGATACTGTGAATGGTATTTACAACTGCAACTGATTTGAGATGAGCTTCACAATTTCACATTCAGGCAACAAACAACCTGACTAAGTGCATGAATTTAAGTTCATTAAGCACAGTAAACCTGGTTGGTGAGCTGCAGATCCTCTCACTGAACATGAAATCAGAAAGTATTCACTGTTTGGTTAATTTGACTGTTTGGTTAATTTGACTGTTTGGTTAATTTGAGTGTTTGGTTAATTTGACTGTTTGGTTAATTTGAGTGTTTGGTTGGTTACTCAGTTCCTTTATCCCAGCCCTGCTGGTTCTGTTTGCAGGCTCAAAACTGAAGCTTCACGTTCTGGTTGCAGCTGAGGTCCATCATTAGTGGGGGGCAGAACTTTTTCTCTGGGTCCACTGTGCATTGGTCACTGGGCTTGTGGCATCTCATCCTTGACAGAAAAACACATTACCATCCTACACCCTTAAAAAACCACCAACACATGAGGAAAACAGATGGAGACTGAAACAAATACAGACCCTGAAACAGTCAGAGTGCAGTCTGGACGTTTCTGAGACTTCTCCAGTAATCGGACCCCCTCCTCCAGAATCAAACCATTCCACATATCAGTGTCCACACTGAGGACAAAGACCAGATGAGGTGTTAGGATGGCAGTGGCAGCCTCACGGAGGTTTATTCAGAGTAATGGAACTGGCTTTAGACACTTGCAGCGTCAGAACTCCACTGCAGTAACATTCGTGCTACAGCCTGCTGGGTCCCTTTAACTACCTGTAAACTGACCATGCTAATGGCACTGAACTATAACACAGATGTCTGGTGGGGTCACCACTAGACTGCAGACAAGCTCAAGCTGTTCTGAAGAGCACAGTCATGGTGCCCCAGAGATGTTTTGTAGGTTTGTAGTTGTTATATTCTTAGGCTGCGTTCAGACTACAGGTGACCCAGATTCTGACTGTGTTGCTTGGTCATTTACCTTTTTTTAATAGGGCCAATATCTGACATCAGAACAGGGTTAACGTTAGTCAGATTCGGTCCACTTCTGTTTCCCCCTGTAACTGAGACACTGGGTCACAGAGCACTGAAGAGAAGACAGAGGCAGATGAGTATCTCACCTCAGTTCGTGTAGAGTGGGGCAGGCCTGGATGATGGAGAGGACCCAGGAAGCCCATGTCTCAGTCAGACTGAAGAAGCCCAGCTCCACCTCCTTCAGACCACTCATAGACTCCAGGACACCCAGCAGAGAAGACAGATCCTCCTCTAAGCCTTCATATCTGGAGAAACAGAGAGAGATCAGACTGCAGCAGTACCTCAGTCTCTAATCTGATTAAACAGAGGTGTACTATATATATATAAAGGTAGAAGGTGTTAATTAAACTGTTTTGTGTCTTAATCTCAGTAACTAAGCATTCAGTTTAAACCATAAATGTCTTAAGTACTTTAACGCTAATTTTGCTAGCATCCCTACGTGATTCTAGTAGTATGTAAGTGCTAAGCTAATGCAGGTGAACAATGTTTTTGGCTGTTCTAGATTAAATATGGACATTTGATGCTTGTAACATTCATTCCATGTGTTTTATCTGAAGCTTTCATCAGACACTTGTTTCCACCCAAAACTTAACAATGAAATAAGAGTTTTACTACAATACTTACAGAGTTTAAATACAGTAGTGACTATGTTATATGTAGATAATAGTGAATTAAAATGAACTAAAAAGTACACACATACATGTTTTTATTGTATAGAGCATATACTGCTACTAATATACTCTGAAAGTCATGGTCATTAGTTAATTACCTAGCTAGCTAATAACTTATCAGGTTTTTGCCCACTGAAATGGTACTGGACTCCAAAACAGGCAGTGTGATATTTACCATAACCAGGTGCTGAATACAGGCGGTGTAACAGGTGTATGAGCGGTGTGATCTGGGTGAATTGTCAATTAATTTAACAATCCAATTAATTCTCACATATTTAGCTACAGAGAAGCCATGATAACTTTAATTGATAGCGTTTGAGAAATTTCATGAACTTGTTTTGCATCATATCCCTGTCAGTCAGCATCACAGCCCTTTCAGCCTGACGTTAACATTGTTAATCCGTGAGGTCTTACGCTTCTGCGGAGCTGTTTATTTTGTGCAGTGTTTGTAAGAAGCCTCTCCAGTTGGTCCTGGACGTGTCAGAGTGTGGATAGGTGAGGCGGATTTTAGAGATTGAGGGATCAGTTTGTGGACGGCTGATTCCATAAACAGTCAGCCTGAAAATCCAAACAGAACATCAGTTACATGTACAGTGTAACAGGGGACGACCATATCATACAAACATAAAGGGAGCAGTTCCAATGTGGATGGTAGTGTAATATACTTGATTGTTTACTTTAGCGTATGAAATTACTCTAACATGAATTACTTACATTTTCAGAATTTCATAATCAAACATTTGGGATTTTTGGAATCAATAAGCAAAAATGTAATGTTTGAAGTTGATCATGAGAAGAAAAAATCAGTAGTTATTCTGGAGTTAAAATAGTCCTTTAGTTATGTTAAAGGGTGAAATACAGACACATGTGTGCCAATTTCTCAGTGCAGTTAATGTCATTTAAAGCTCTAGTTAAATTTAAAAAATGGGAAAAGTACAGTTTGACTAGCTGTCTGAACATTGGAATACAGACAGTAAAATTCATAAGAAGCTCCTTACGTGAAATCTCCATCATCTTTTGACATGCAGAGAGATGAGCAGACACATTCGTCATTGCTGTGTTCCTTACTTATTGAAGCTCTGCCAATCAGAGAACAGAATTAGAGAAGAGATGTTAACACTCAATGTCAACACAGTCAACAAGAACACAGCCAACATTAATATAGTCAACATGACAGTCAATATCACCATTAACACAGTCAACATCAAAACAGTCAGCATTAGCACAGTCAACATCAACATTAAAACAGTCAATATCATTATCAACACAGTCAACATGACCACAGTTAACATTAACATCAACATAGTCAACATCAGCACAGTCAACATTAACACAGTTAACATCAACACAGTCAACATGACCACAGTTAACATTAACATTAACATAGTCAACATCAGCACAGCCAACATCAGCACAGTCAACATTAACACAGTCAACATCAACACAGTCAACATGACCACAGTTAACACTAACATCAACATAGTCAACATCAGCACAGCCAACATCAGCACAGTCAACATCAACACAGTCAACATGACCACAGTTAACACTAACATCAACATAGTCAACATCAGCACAGCCAACATCAGCACAGTCAACATTAACACAGTCAACATTACACAGCCAACATCACCATTAACACAGTCAACATTAACAGTCCCCATTAGCACAGTCAACATCAACATCAGTCAATATTATTATCAACACAGTCAACATGACCACAGTTAACATTAACATCAACATAGTCAACATCAGCACAGTCAACATTGACACAGTCAACATCAACACAGTCAATATTCACACAATCAACATCAACATTAAAACAGTCAACATTAACACAGTCAACATTACACAGCCAACATCACCATTAACACAGTCAACATTAACAGTCACCATTAGCACAGTCAACTTCAACATCAGTCAATATTATTATCAACACAGTCAACATGACCACAGTTAAGATTAACATCAACATAGTCAACATGACCACAGTCAACACAGACACAGTCAACATGACCACAGTCAACATCAACATCAACACAGGCAACATCAACACACTCAACATCAACAGTCAACATCAACATCAACACAGGCAACATCAACACACTCAACATCTCCATTAACACAGTCAACATCAACAGTCAACATCAACACAGTCAACATTAATACAGTCAACATTAACAATCAACATCAACATTAAGTCATCATTAACAGCCAACATAAAAACAGTCAACATCATTAAAAGTCAACTTCATTAACACAACATCAACACAGTCATCATTAACACAGTCAACATCGACATAAACACAGTCAATGTTAACAAAGTTAACATCTACACAGTGTTAGTACAGTCAATGTTAACACAGTAAACATTGTAGTGCAGATTATTTTTGGGATTACAGATTATGACCTGCTCATGGAGCAAGTACGGGGTCACATTTTTTGCATTTTTGCAAATTCCAGGTCATATTTTTTTACAATTCTTTGCAGGTTATCAGATATTAAACTTGCTTTATAGTACATATGAAATCAAGATTTAAAAAAAAATATATCAGTGATCCTTTTTTTCTGTTTAAATTCTGCATGACATCTATTTCTGAAAAATATGTCTGCAACTCTTTCATCTCTTGTGCTTGTTTGGTGTTATAAAGCTTTCATTACATGTATTTTTGCAAAAAAACATGCCACAAAATGTAACAATGACTCCACATGAAAGTCAGTGCACTAAACTAATTGTTTTAATGTCCAAATCTATGTCCAGTAGTCCTGCCAATATTGGCCTGGACTGCATGATTAAATCACACAAAGCTGCATAAAGGCCTTGGACTGTGCTGAACCGTTGTTCTTACTTGAGTTTGTGTATAGTTGTGCAGACCTGGATGATGGAGAGGACCCAGGAAGCCCATCTCTCAGTCAGACTGAAGAAGCCCAGCTCCACCTCCTTCAGACCACTCACAGACTTCAGGACACCCAGCAGAGAAGACAGATCCTCCTCTAAGCCTTCATATCTGGAGAAACAGTCAGTGCTGTTAGTTCTGTCAGCATTAGGAGGGATTATTTCCACCCAGTCCTATTTTAGAGAAGATAAAGACGTACATTCCTGTGGAGCTGTTTATTCTGTGAAAGGTCTGTAGGAAGCCTCTCCAGTTGATGCTGGAGATCACAGCGTGTGGACAGGTAAAGCGGACTTTTGAGAGCGAGGGTTCAATTTGTGTACTGTAGGTACTGATCCACACCCTGAAACACATTTTAGGAAGTAAGTTTTCTTAAAATGTGGTATTTCACAGCATATGGCATTCAGGTCTGTGATCTGTAGAGTGTTTTACCTGAATTCTCCAGCACTGTTTGACACGCCGAGATATGAGCAGACATTGTCATCACTGGCTTCATCCACCCTAATGCTACCAGTGAGAGGCAAGGCAAAAATATAACACATACAAATCCTTATTTATCTATTTATTTTTTACTAGAAAAGCAGTGTGCTGCTACCCGCAATGTTTATGCAGAATCTCTTGACGTTACTTAAAGTGAACCTCTGGAGTAGCTGTATCTTTCATGTTAATGTATTCTGTGTGGTGCCTGTGAGCGAGCAGGAGTCAGTAAAATTCTCACTTTAAGTTCGTAACCTCTGTGTTCTGGGTGATGTTTATGAGCAGGACAGCAGTCTCAGTGGATATGCTCTTGACTGGGAACCCAACTACACCCACGGTTTTCTGTTTGCTGAGTGTGATGAGGACTGACTGCACACTCTGTTCTGAAAGGGCGCCTTTATGCTGGCTGTGGAGGAAAAATACACAGTAGTAACTATAATAGTAAATAATAATAATAATTAACAAATTCCAAATACATTATTGTGAAACAGATCAATTTCATTTTCAGATCCACAAAAATATTACCGGAAGTATCTCAGGCTGTTTCCTTCTCCCAGAGCCAAGACCAGATCATTGGCATCAGCATCTGTGAGTTCCTCCAGACACAAACTGCAAGAGGAAAACCCCAACAATCATCACATGAACCAGTCTAATGTGTTTATGGTACTTTATTTTAGTCAACAGCGTTAACTTTATTTCTTCAGACCATGACTTTCTGTGTATTTCTGTATTTAATCAATGTTCAATCAGATTTTCAGAGTTGAATCAGGTGTGTTTGAGCAGAAAAATCTCTAAACTGTGGGAGACCAAAGTTTCCAAGACCAGAATTCCTCAACACTGGGTTACAGCATCAGTGTTCATTCATAGCAATGTTCAGGACACAGGCTGGTACGGTTAACATGGGATACTCTACACTCAGAAAATTACCATGGACTCCCCTTCTTGCTGGTTGTGTTGTGGAACATTCCATCCTGGCTCCACCTGCTCACCATTTTCATTACCAGTGTCTTGTTTTTTTGTAGTGTGTTTATATGTGATCAATCTGAACAATATTTTTCCTTTACACCAGAAATAATTGAAGTTTACTTGAGTTAAAAGGCTAATACTAATTAGCATGGTGCTCAATCACCATATACTTGCCTCAAACCTGAACTGAGGTTTCATGTATGTTATGTTTAACCTTCAACAAAATTTACTGTTTGCATGGCTAGCTGATTAGCTCACTGAAGCTAACCTAACCAAAGGTGAGCATGTTCCCCTTCAATAATCTGCTCTTTAATGAGTGCCCTTTTTGTCAGGTTGGTTAGTGGGGAGGCTACCATGCTGAAATTCCATATGAATCTACAGAAGAAACTGGCAAAGCCCAGAAAGCTTTGAATTAAGCAAATGAACATGGGGTAAGGCCATTCAGTCCTGGCCTGAATTTTCGCCAGGTCCATGCTCAGCTGATTTCTGGATACCACAAACCTGAGAAAACTGACTGACTGTGCATAGAAGATGGACTTCTCCAGCTTAATGTAGAGATGGTTTTCTAGTAAAAGCTGTAGTACCCGCCGAATGTAAACTACATGGTTGTCTACAGAATGATTATAGATAAAGATGTCATCTAAGTAGATGAACACAGTGGTCAAGCATCTAATGGAGGACCTTATTTATGAAATGGTTGAAGACAGCCGGGGCATTCATCAACCCAAATAGCATTATGAGGTACTCGTAATGACCAGAGGGTGTGATAAACACCCATTCGTCTCCATGCCGTACTTGAATAAGATTATAGGAACTGCACAGGTCCAACTTAGTGAAGATGGATGCCTTGAAATGGCTGAGGTCGTTGGGTGGTGATCGTTGACTGTGATCTCATTAAGCCCCCTGTAGTCTATGCTGGGTCTAAGGCTGCCATCCTTCTTCCCTACAAAGAAGAAATCGGCTTCAGCCAGGGAGGTCGACAGGCGAATAAACCAAGAGCTAGTACCTTCTTGATATACTCCTCCATAGCCCATTTCTCAGGACCAGAAAAGAGAATAGCCTTCCCTGGGGGGGGTGAGGTGGCAGGGAGGAGCTTGATTGCACTTTAACCTGTAACGAGGTAGGATTTGTGCCTTACTCTTACTAAAAACCTCTGACAGGTCAAGATAATCAGAGGACTTTAGATAGATTGGGACATACTAAGGAGGTCTTAATTGGATTTGGGGTTGGTACAAGAAGCTCAATGCATGACATCTTACATCAAAGGCCCCAAACTGCCACTGACTGGGTCAGCCAGTCCATGCATGGATTTTGACGTTGCAGCCAGCACTTGAGTAGAAATGATGTCAGCTCAGTATGCTGACATATCTGAAGGATGACATGCCTTGTCTGCTGGATGACCTGCCCTGATCCCAAAGGACGAATGTCGATAGCATAGACAGAGACTGGTTTCTCCAAGATAATTAGAAGTAGATTCATGGTCTAAGCCAGGGAGACATCAATAAAATTACTGGCAGCCCCTGAATTGACAAAAGCTTGACGCCTTCTTTCTGGCCTTTGTCCCTATGATAGGATCACAGTGAGAAAGAATTATAATAATAATAATTGTAATAATAATGACAATAATAATAATTGTTCTGCCGCATTCTATTATGGCTCAGTCCTGCTGTTAAGCGTCAGGTGGTTCTCCCTTAGTGAGGTGCAAACCCACAGTCTTCTAGCTGTTAAATTGACATGCTATGGGAAGAACTACCATGTGGACACTAATAGATGGCCTCAAGCGCAGAGGAATAAAGGCACAAGACAAAGGAGATAACTAAAAGGCAAATGAAAGAGTGAGTATTAGAGAGAGAAAACTATAACCTTAAGAAGAAAAGGAGAATGCAACAAACGTAACTAGCCAAAAGTGAGGCTTGAACTCTGAACCTTGCCTTTGGCGAACCGATGTGCTAAACAGCGCCCCACTAGAGAAAACAGAGACTATACTGACTGAAGAGTTTAGAGATCCCTAAATCAACATAAAAGCTTTCTTTTTTCACAAAAGGCATCTCCAAGACAGAGACTAAAGTAGAGCTTTACTTTTCTCTTTTTTATACCTGCGCTGGGGAGGGAGACATTCAAGACTAGAAGAATTCTACCGATTACCGCCTGAGTCAGAGTAACACACATATATAGCAGCAAGAACTCAGTGGAGAGTAGCATGTGGGCACCCCTTAAATAAGGCATCCACAGCTGTCACCACTCAGCCTTAACCAGCCCTTCCTGCCGTCTGGCTCCTCCTAGTGGCCGGAGGAGTCCCAGCAGACTGCCTGGACGTTACAATAACATAGGTGTGATCATCTGATTGGTGAGTTGAAGTGGGTGAGAGCATTAAAAGCACTATTAAAACAGAACCTAGATGTCATGTAGCCTTAGGAACCTTACCTGTGAACAAAGTTTTATCTGGACTTTATTAATGTCGTTTATCTGTAAACATCAGTTTCAAGATTTTCAGGCTACACAATTACTGTTTTTGGCTATGCATCACACTTTTGTAAGTACTTACCACAACTTTTCACATCTACGCAGTGCAGGTTGAAGCATCCTCAGCTTGTCAGCTGTTATGCCAAGGCAACGGCCAAGGTTCAAGTTCTTGATTTGCTCACAGCACTGAAGGCAGTAGAACAGAACCCAGCAGTCTGTTGTACTCAGGAATGTAATGCCCAGATGTATTTCTTCCCAAGCTTCCATAGCTTTCCTCACAAAGTCCTCCTCATGCAGCTCATAGAGACAGTGGAGGATGAACACTATGCCTTCACCTACTTTTCCGTCACGTATTTGACCGCTGTCTGCAATGACCTGCAGGATCCATTTCTTCAGGAGGGTTTGAATTGATGGTGATACAGACAGATTGTATGTTTCTGTTTCAGTCTCCATGATGTACGCAGTGCTTACTGTCTCGTTACAGAGACCACAAAGAAACCGGATCACAGGAGAGCACTGTAAATTTAAATTCCTACCATGAGCAGAAGTTTCATCACACTTGTCATGATCTGTGATGCCAAGCAGATTTCTGATGTTCCTCAGGGACTCATCCTCATCCAGCATGACATAGTATAAGGCAGTGAAGAACTCCTGGAAGCTCAGATGTATGAAACCTACCATGAATTTTGGGCGGGAATGAACTATTTTCCTAAAGGGAGTTTTGCACAGGAACATTGGCAGTGGAGGAACATTGACATCTGCTTCCACAGTCTCATCAAACAGGACCTTGTGTTGTAGCATTCCCCTCTCTGCCAGCTGGCCCAGGCTCTTCAGTAGATCACGGACAGGGTGACTGAGATCCTGACAGTGATTCTCCAGCAGAGTGGACACAAAATTAACATATATAGAGGTGGTCGTCTCCAACCCGCTTGTTAGATCAGCACCCTCTTGAAACCTTTCCTTGATGTATGTGCAGATGATCCAGCAGATGACTGGGATAACACAGGCTGTGAAAAGGTTTTGGTTTGCTTTCACGCATTCATAGGCTTTCCTGGAGAAAGCGCCCCCTTCTTCCTTAAAAAATCTCTGAAAGTACTCCTCCACCCCCTTCTCAGAGAAGCCCAAAATCTCAATGAACCGGTACGGGGTTTTGAGCAGCTTACTCAGCGCAGGCGTGGCTGTGGACCTGGTGGTGACCAGCAGAAAGCACTTGGGAAGCATTTTCCCTTGAAGCAGGGCAATGAGAATGTCTTTAGGAGGAGCTGTTTTACGTGGGTCAGTCAGTGATGTGTGAGTCGTCTTCTGCAGTTTGAGCTCATCAAAGCCGTCTATGAGGAACAGCAGTCTGCCTGGTGAGTGCAGGACCTCTGTGATCTGCTCTGGTTTAATGCTGTATGACAAAAGTTCCTCCAAACTGGTGTCTTCTGTTACATTCAACTCTTTACACTTCAGGTGGAAGATAAAGTCAAATTTGTCTGCATACAGAGATCCAGAGGCCCAGTCTAACATGATCTTTTGTGCAGTGAATGATTTGCCATTTCCAGAGTTTGCTTGGAGAAGGACGGCTTTCTGAACATGTCCACGATCATCTGGGCTGAACAGCTGATTAATGCTTGTTCTTTGGTATTCATCCCTGTTCCTGCTGTTTAAGACCTTCTGGAGTCTCTGTCCTTTGGAGCAGAGTTCCTGCTTTCTCTCTTTCACCTCTCGGTGTTTCTGTATCATCAGCAGGTCCACGTAACGTTCATCCAGCAGCATGTATTCACCCGGGGATGAATTGTATTCCTCCACTGTCTTACACTTGTCAACAACAAACTCCCTATATTCAGCTGCATTAGAAAACAGACATTCAACATTGTTAAATGTAGTAAATATAGAGCCTGATAAAAGCCAAACAGTGTGATAAATATCCAGTGCAGATAATATTCGGGGTAAAGACTAATGATTTGTAAAAAAAATACTTCTCTGGAATCTCATTTTGAAAGCTTCCCATTGAGTTAGCATGTATTGGTCGAATATCGTATTTATAATACATTATAAATGCATTTATACAGCATTATATGGTATACATAAAACCATATAATACTGGATATAAACTTGTAAAATTACTGTTAAGTAGTTATTATTAAACTTTAAACAGTAAGAATACATTAAAAAAATTGCCCATCAGTTCAGCCACAAAAATCACCTCATGTGGTAACAAACAATTGAACTAGTTTTATTCAACTCAAAAATTACTTTCAATGAAAGAATCGTTCATTTACAGTATTTATTTAGTTTGAATGAAAGTCAGGTTCATTAGAACATTGTAAACACTACTGATGCACTATAACCACACATAACTGAGAAATGTTATTGTGTTTTGAAAAATATATGCCCAATATGAATTTGATGCAAGCAACATGTTGAGCCGGTTGGGACAGGGGCAAAGAAACTCTGGTAAAGTTGTGGTGGAACATCTCACAACTAATTAGATTAATTTGCAAAAGCATGACTGGGTATAAAGAGCTTCACAGAGAGGCTGAGACTTTCAGAAGTAAATATGAGGAGGGGTTCACCACTCTGTAAAAGACTGCATGATGAAATAGTGCAACAATTCAAGAATTGTGGAGGAAATCACTGCATGGCCTCAGAAACACTTCTGAAAACCACTGTCTGTGAACACAGTTTATCACTGCATCCACAAATGCAAGTTAGAACTCTAAAGCACAAACTGTACATAAACAGAATCCAGAAATGCTGCCACCTTCTCTGGGCCTCAGCTCATTTAAAATGGACTGAGGGGAAGTGGAAAAGTGTCCTGTGGTCCAACAAATCAAAACTTTAAATTCTTTTTGGAAATCATGGATGTCCTGTCCTCCAGGCTAAAGAGAAGAAGGACCGTCCGGCTTGTAATCAGCACATAGTTCAAAATCCGTGACTACATTCTGCATGTATTACAGCAGCATTGCTCCATATTAAAAGAGTCTGGGTGCTAAACTGTCCTGCCTGCAGTCCAGATCTGTCACCACTGATAACATTTGGCACATTATGAAACGATAAATACAACAAATGAGCCCTCAAACTGTTGGGCAGCTGAAATCCTGTATCAAACAAGAACAGCAAACTACAGCAGAGTCTCCTCAGTTCCCAAAGTCTTACAGAGTGCTGTTAAAAGAAGAGGTGATGAAAACATGAACCCGTCCCAACTTTTTTGGAATGTGTTGTTGGCATCAAATCCAAAGTGGGCAAATATTTTTCAGGCAACAATAAGATTTCTCAGTTTCAACATCTGATAAGATCTGCACATCATTGTATTTTGTTTATTTACAGTTTTCACAGTGTCCTATCTTATTTGGAACCAGGATCGTGAATGTTCATATAAGGCAAATTCCTGTAAGTACAAAATACTCTTGTCTCCTGTAGCTGTTGGAGCCAAAGTGATTCTACCCAACAGATGTTTACCTGGATGTAGAAGTGGGTGTGGTGTGATGCAAAGTATATGTCTTGTTATAGTGTGTAATATAACAACCATTAATGTTTACAATGTTCTTCTGAACTGATTATAATGTGTTATATCATTAATCATTAATCAAGTAAAATAAAAAAAACACACCTGAGATCTGTGAGACTGAGATTTGGCTTCCTGTAATTTTAAGATAGGTTTAACATCAGTTTGATGAGCTCCCAATATTAACATCTCATCACAGTAAGCAGAATGTAGTATTACTGTTTCCATTAATAAGAAAATACAAACCAGTGGAGCTGAAGTTCTGTGTAATATTAACATCTCCATGAAAGGTTGACTGTATCAGCATCACTGCTGAAACCTGACCTCCATTCTGAGCTGTAATATTGATATTTGGACAGTTGGTGGAGCTGCTTTGATGTTCCTCCCTGCCTGCAGGCAAAAGGAAAAATGAAACATGAACAACATAAACATGAGTTTGCGCTTTTCTTTGAGCTGAAGTTCTTCACTAGTACAGTTCCAATCGAACTCATCTGTTCATGACTCACACCAATCACTGCTCTGATTAAACCTCATATGTATCTTTAAGTGGGCTTACGCTGGACTGGCTGGACGTTCTGGTCCATTACCTCGTCTTAGTCTCTACAGAGGGAGAGAAAAAGACTCTGGCTGTGAAATTCTTCACATAAGTGGCTTTTCAGTCAACTTTGAAATTCTCAGTTCAAGAATGAAATTTTAGCAATACTGACTTCAACCATGCTGAACATTTTCTTTCAGTTTCAAAGCCACACAGACCGATTCAGCTGTTTTACAGTGAACTCTGTGAAAAGGTGAAACACTTACCTGTCGCTGTCTGTCAGGTTTCCAGTGATGTCAGTGAGACATTTATAAATGCTCTCGAATGAAGGTTCCTCATGTTGCTGCTGTTGTTGTTTCTCCTATGTGAATGTCGTAAAACACTAGTAAAGACTGTGAGCTGCTGTTCCAGTAAAACAGGACTAACGTGTGCTGTTATATTTCCCTTTTCCTCTGAAAAACATTATTCTGTCTGATAACAATCAACAGAAGAGGAATGCTCTCACAGATGGCAGGTCCTCTGAGAACCACATTTCCCAGAATTCCTCACCATAAGCCACTCCCTCGACTCCCATTTCCTGGGAGACGCCATCACATTCCAGTATCAATGTCTCTATACAAACACAGTTTGGGTGCAGAAGATCTGCAAATTCACACATTCATATGTTTTTGTTTCGATGCTAATATTTCAGTCATTTGATGTTTGTTTTATGTCATTATGTTGTATATTATTTTGTATTTTTCATATTATTGTGAAACTTTGATGTTATTTAGGTGAAGATTTCATATAAACCTGTTAGGTTTTTTGCCTCTTGCTGCACTGCATGTTATCTTTGTCTGTTTGTGTGTATTTTTATTTTGCAAAAATAAACGAAATAAAATAAACATACATGATGTCATAAACACAAGCGTGTATGATTTCTTATAAGTAGTTGTAATGACATGAAGAACACTTTATAAAATAAGAGAAAACGGTAACACTTTCTATGAATGTCACCTTTGTAAGCATCTATAAACATATTCATAACATGTTATAATGCATTCATAAGGCATTATAAACATAGCTATAAATATTTATAAAAATGCATTATATGTTATAGCCATGTTTATTATGCATTATGAATTGTTAACATAATACATTATAAGTACACCACTGTTAGCTTGGTATTTGTCTTTACGTTCTCCAAGCTGGGACTGACTTCTTTGGCACTGACGTTATAACATGTTATTAACACTATTTATAATGCGTTATATTAACAATTCATAATGTATAATAAACATGGCTATAAAGTGTAATTCAGTGTAATTCTTTTTTATAAATATTTATAACCATGTTTATAATGCCTTATGAATACATTATAACGTTATAAATGTGTTTATAGATGCTTACAAAGGTGACATTCATAGAAAGTGTATATTGGCTCAGTTAGCTTTTATCTCAGAATGCTCTAAACAGGATCTGAGATGCTGCTGTTTTTTTATTGCCTTTTTAATACAGCGGGGTTTATATACGCGTCTCTGCTGATTGGCTGACACCTCTGACACGCCCACCAAACCAGAGAAAACACACCTCAGGGCCTGTAAACCACTGTTACACACCATTTCAACAAAATATGTCATTCAACCTGGAAACCGTAGCAGAATGTATTGAGATCGTTCCCCTTTGCAGGTCAGATTGGCCCTCGGTTCTAGCTCAGCTTCCCTTTTGCCCCAAAGACCTCGTACTCCAAAGCTCTAGACACCCTCTAAACTAAATGAGTGTCACTTTACTGTTCTGTTGGGTTCTCCAGTTTTACAGCCTTCGTTTCTTTGACTTTTGTGCTCTTTGTATCTGAGTCTTGTGTTTTTCTAAGGAATGTATTGACTCTGGCTGAAGATCTGCCTGTTTACATTTCAGTAATGGTGAATTCATATATACACATCTGCCCACCAACACAAGCATTATGATTATGATATGATTATGATAAATGGTGTGATATCAAAAACAGACGAGACAGCAGGCTTTCAGTGAAGAACTGGTTCTTTCATTTTGCTGCTCAAGTAAAACACAGCTTGTTTAAAGCAGGTTGATGAGATTAAATGAGAAATGAACACAGACAGTTTCTCTCATTGAGCTGCTTTTATTGCTTTCATTGGTTCCACCATGTTGTGGTTAAAAAACAAACAGCAGGTTCTTCAGACTTCAGTCGAGAATGTCGTCTCCTGTGTTCAGCTCCACGCGTCCCTCAATGAATCCTGGAGGACAGAGAGGTTTGTTAGATTTACAGGTCAAGCTGAAGAGTGTAGCTCTCTATGTAGAGACTGGAGAACGTTACCTTTAATGAAAGCTTCCTGAACTATTCGGGCCAGCTGGTTCTGATTCATCCGTTTGAGAGTTATCTCAGCGATCCTCACTGCATCTTTGTCATCGTAGTACTGCATCACCTGGTTGACCGTCTCCTGAACGGAGACGCCCTCCAGTTTGGCCTTTGGAATGAGAGGATATCCATCCAGAACCCCCTGGATCAGGTGCCACTGGAACCTCTTCAGCTCATCGGCGTTCAGGTGCTCCAGAGCATTCAGGAGAACCTCCTGGAGTCTGATTTTGTTCGACATCTGGACACTGAACAGAATGAAGATATGGTAACCCTAAACCTAAACCCTCCCTGAACCAGAGCCCTAAACCTAATCCTACCATAATGTTGTTGATAATTAGAATCACCAGAAAGTTTGTTAATAATTTAAGTATCTGTAGATGATCTATAGGGGACCATCCAAATAAAGTGTACCCACGATACGTAGAAGAGGGTCTGGATTCACTGAAGTGTTTTAAGAAAGAAAATCTTAACTTTGCACTTCAGTAATTAAAAACATTATTCTTAAACATCTGAAGAATTCTCTTAACTTTTCAAAAACTGCTATATTTTGAACATTTATGACATTTTCCAGGAGATTTTCACCTCCCTGCTGTTTCCTCCACCATCGTTTCTTGGTACTGTTTGCTTAAAACATCTTTAGAATATTTGGTTTGATTTAGTTTTTCATCCAAGCAGATTCGACTGAATGACAGAAATAACGATTTTAAATTCAAAATTAATTTAGAATTAATTAGATCAAAATTAATTAGAAAATAATTAGAGAATTTTTTAATTAAAAAGTGCATTTTAGAACCTTCTTATGAACCTCTTAGTCTTTGTGCTACGTTCCAAGTTTTTACTCAGTGAATCTTCTGTGAACATTGGAGAACCCCGGTCCTAACACAACCAATCAGCTCATTAACTCATTAACGGGCTCCTCTTGAGCTGAAGTGGAGGTGTTAGAGCAGGAGAACCCTAAACTATGCAGGACAGGGGTTCACCAGGACCGGGCTCTGGAACCTGTGGGGCTAATCAATACTTTGAGGTGAAAATGAACAAATCCATGAAGAGTCTGGAACCAAGAGGAACCGAGAACCTAGGTTCTTCTGCCCAGCTTCTGCTCAGATTGATTCTATCTGTTCTACACTCATTGCCTACATTTATAATGCACACAAATCCAACATGTAAGAAAGAATAACCAAGAATATAATACTGTATAACACACCCTGCATTCCTGCAGTACAGTGGTCTCCAGCTGTGGTCCCAGAGAGCTTTAGCTCCAACATGCTGTCCCTCACTTACCTACACTAACACATCTGATTCAGCCAATCAGAGACCTCTGAAGAAGGTAATTAGCTGGAGCAGGTGTGGCAGGTTGGAACTACACACTGCAGGAAGGCAGATCTCCAGGACCAGCGCTGGAGACCACCGGTATAAAATTACACACAAACAGAAACACCTCAACAGAAGATGAAGGTCAGTGAATGTCCTACCTTTCAGTAGATCAACACGCCAAACTCACGCAGTGATGGTGGTCTGTCAGATACACTGACTGACAGGATTATATAGCACTCACTAATGATATGCATGTGACATCACATCAGGAACATTTGCATAAAACTACACCAGTCACTCCTGTGTTGTGTAATGTGGTGGCCTGATCAGATCACATGGATTACTGTTCAGATTACTGTACATCTGACGCTGCTGTGTGAACACAGTCACATTACAGAGACCACCAGAAAAGTCTGAGCAGCAGCAGCTCATAGGAATATGGTTACCATCACTCTATTACACACATGTAATTACATAAGAGAACAAAGAGAACATATACCATATGATATACATGTGTGTAATTACACAGTAATAACTGATGTTGATTTATATATATATATATATATATATAAATCAACATCAGTTATTACAGCTTTAAACATAATCACAGATCAATGCTGGTAAATATTGTACAGCACATAAACAGTACAGCAGTTTCTCTGATATTTGTCTCTTCTAATAGAGCAACATCTAAAAAACTTTGAGTGCTTTAACCAAGTAGGCACTGTGCAAACATGTGTGTATAATAATAATAATAATAATAATAATAATAATAATGATAACAAAAACTTTGTTTATAGAGTACTTTATAATGATAATATACACTATTATACACTTAATTGCCCTCAGTAGAGACTGAATTTAGTGTAGGTCAGATAATAAACGTTAGAGAATTTTATGGTGAATTTCAGGCAAGAATCATTAAAGTGAGAGAATGAAAATGTTAAAGAATGAGTAAATCTGAAAGGACAGCAGGTGACTGACATAAAGAGAATCAAGTGCTGATGGAGTGATTTGTGTGTTTTTTTGGGGGGGTTATTTTAGAGAAGAAAACACTGTACACTGATGACACTGCATGTCCAGCCAGTTTCAGGTCTCGTTGTGAAATGTGTGTGAACTGCTGGGACCTGAAAACCACTGGACTGTAATCAGATGCTCACAATTTTATTTTCCCATAACTGGGACCACTCATCAGTGTCCAGTGCAGTTCATTAAAGAACTGTTATAAAGTCTAACTCCATAAACAATGAGGTGCTAGTTTATTATTACACCTTCACACAAAATTTACACTCCAACAAGTCATAAAATTAGTCATCTGTGTTTATGGTTGTATAGGTCTACCAGCAGTGGCAAAAATCCCAGTCTACAGGAAATCAGGCAGATTTCTAGCATCAGACTTTTTACCTTACTGAACATCCAATCTCACAACCCTCAACATCACATCACACTGACTTCAACTTCAAACGTCAAAATGCACCACCTTTAGAAGATCTCCTCTTCTTCACTTCAGACTCTTCTGTCAAGCTGTAAGACTCTTTAGAGAGCTACCTCCAGCTCAGACACTGTAAGCAGTTTCACCCGACTCACTTTAATTTTTAAACTAGTCCCTGGTTTCATGCTGTATGTTTTAAGCTCTCTCACTAAAACGTAGTTCTCATGACACTCCTTCAGGAAGACGCACCGTCCTCTACTGTCCATACTCTTC